GTGTGCGGGGCCCAACCGTCGCACCAGCAACAGGCAGCGCAGCCAGGGCCGCGTCCCCCCGCCCAGGGCCCGCCCTGACTCCAGCGGCGGCGGCGGTCGCCTGTTGGAGCACTGGTTTGGCAGCAGCCGCCAGCGCCCGCCCATCGTTGGGCATCGCACCCGCAGGCAGCCAGCAGCAGGCCAGGCAGAGCAAGGACATGATGTGGCCGAGCCTACTGAGCGGCCCTCGCATTCTTGGTTTGGTTCCCGCAGGTCTCGGCAAGACGCTTGATGCAAGCTCGCATATCTTGCTCGTCCGCGGGTCCTTCTGAGCCAACAGCATCCCGCCAGAAAGAGCGCAACTCATCAATGTCATCAGTGTCCGTAGGCACCGCCACATGTTCACCATCTGTAGCAGCAGGTGGGGCGAGCTGGCCCTCCTGCAGCAGCCCTTTGCGCCTGGCCTGCAGCGGCAGATGCTGCCGCCGACGCAGACCGCTGGGCTGCTGCCTCCGCCGCTTGTCGAAAGTCGAGACCACTTCTTTTGCCAGGGCCTCGTCACCGCCAAGCTTCGCCAGCATCTTGCCGACCTGGTCGACCGTAAGGTCGAGCCCCGCCAACGCCGTGCGCAGCGACGGCGTGTCGCCAGGCTCGGGCAGCGGCGCCTTCGCGGCCAAGCAGCGCCTCTGCTCCTCGGCCTCCAGCTGCTCCGTGCGGATCGTCTCCATCGTCTGCTGGGCCTCGAGCACCTCCCTGGCCAACTTGGCCTGTGCCGCTCGCAGCCCATCAACGTGCGACTGCTGCTTGTCGCGCTTCTTTTCGAGGGCCTGGCAGCGATTGGTCGCCATGTGCAGCTGCGACGACAGCGGCTTGGCGGCCATCTTCTTCGACTGGAGCGAATCGATCTCGGTCTGGATCTGCGCACGTATGGGGGCCAGCAGCGGGTCACCCTCCCCCATGGCGCGCAAAGTGGCCCGCAGCGAGTCGATGCGAGCCTGGGTCTGGTCAGCCTCAGGAGGAGGAGGAGGAGGAAGAGGAGGCGGAGGAGGAGGACGAGGAGGCGGAGGAGGAGGGAGGGAGGGAGGGAGGAGAGAGGGAGGGAGAAGGGCAAGAGGAGCATAGGGGAGGCGGCCGGGCCCGCGCTCGTCTCGCCTGCGGCGGCGAGCGGGCGGGCGGGAGCCCTGCGTGCCGCCGGGTCGGGCGGGGCCCCTGGATGGGTCGGTGGTGTCGGGAGTGGGCGGGCCCTCACGCGAGCGTTTTCTTACTCGGTGTTTCGACATTGGGCTGGGGGGGGGAGGGGAGGGCGTCTGGCTCTGGACCACTGCTCAGGGCGCCTGTCTGCAGCAGTGCGTCCTGTGAGGGAGACCCCACCTGCTCGAAGCAGGCGCCAAGAGGAGCCAAGATCACTCCAGTAGGGGGGGGGGGAGTGGAGGGGGTGCGAGGGCCCGTGCCGATCGGCTAAACAATGAATAAGAAAACGACGACTGGGCGGTCGGGCTTGGACGTTGCTTGCGCGGGAGAGCTTCTGAGAAGGCCCCTGCCTTCTTAGAAGCTCCCCCTCCTGCCTCGAGGGCCCCTGCCTTCTTAGAAGCTCCCCGTCCTTCTCGGAAGGCCCCTGGCTTCTAAGAGGGCCCCGGCCTTCGCAGAAGATCCCGCGCCTTCTTCCAGGGCCGCCCCCTCGCGCAACCCCCTGGGTCGGGCGGTTGGGCTTGGGCGGGAGGGGCGGAGGGGGCTATACACGTCTTGCCTGTTTGACCCCCCCCCCAAAAAAAACGCGGCCATGCTTGGTCACCCAATCCTGGGGGCGATATATGACTGGGGGAGGGGGGGGGGAACAAGCACCGTTCGTGCCCTTGTTTTGGGACCCCTGTCCGGCACGGAGACTGTGCACCTGTCGCCCGCCCCCCGCCCCCCATGTATCGCCCCGCCCCCCCCTTACCCAACGCCCGGCGGGTGGGGCCAGGGAAACTCCCAGGTGGTCGGGGTAGGGTCGCATGGAGCCGTGCCTCGAGTGGGCGGGGCGGGCTGGGCGGGCCGGGCGGGCCTTCGAGCGGGCGGGCGGGCAGGAGGGAGGAGGGAGGAGGGAGAGACTGGAGAGGGGGGAGGGCAAGCTAGGCGAGCCCGCGCCGCGCTTCCTCTGACATCCTATCCCTCCCTCCATACCATCCCTTCCCATGGCGCTGATTTTCACTCTCCGCGGACACGTGTCATAGCCGACCTGCAGCTCCCACAGAAAGACCACCGGGGGGAGGCAGAGGAGAGCGGCGAGGCGAAGGCGGGAAGAGAGATGCGCAAGCGGGAGGGGGAGTTTCTTCATCGGCGATCCCTTGGGGCCTGAACGGTTTATCGTCAAACATAGCTCCAGCGTGAAGACACAAAACGCTGTCGAGGTGCGTCGCTTCGCGACGATTTATCGACCAGCACCGCTCGAGGGCGACGAAGCAGCCCTTGCCACCGCCGCTAGCAGGGGGGGAGGGGGAACTCGGAACTCGGAACTCGGAGGTCCGCGGAAATATACCAG